TGTCATTAGGTTCTATCGATGAAGCAGACTTGAGAAATGCGCACTGCCCTGTCCAAGTTTCGAACAACAGACTATCCGATTTTTAGTAGGACGTACAATTCAGTTACACCATAAAAGTAGTCGGAAAGGAGGGAGAAAATATTTTATACGGCTAAGGTCTAAATGGCAAGAGCCTTGGGATTTAGCAAACAAGGGGAAGAAGGCTGTATCAATATTTCTCAAAAGTAAGCGTATAAGGTATTTCTCCCGCCTTCTTTAGCATTTTTCATTGCTCATTTTTCACGTCTGCTGCTTCCAAAATAACCTAATGTCTCTACAGTGGCACCCGAACTAAAAAAAGGGTGGTGGATGATGATTCTCCACTACTAGCGATTGTGTCCCCTAATCCCCAGTTGTTCTTTAAAAGGGGGGTATATAAGGTATTTCTCTTGCCTTCTTAGCATGCCTTCGTCATGTACTGGTGGACACGTTCGACGCGTATTCGAGAGATCCGTGTTTCGAGTCTCCACGAGGGTATTGCTCAATTTTCAGCTCTCCTGCTTTGAATCAACATAATTTCTCTACAGTGGCGCTCGAACTAATAGGTGGTAAATGATGACTCTTCAACACCAGGACTTGGCGACTGGGTCCCCTAAACCTCAGTCGACTTCTAAAAGGGGGAGTATATAAGGTATTTCTCCCGTCTTCTTAGAATGCCTTCTTGGTGTAGTGGTCAGCTCACTCGACGCGTATTGTAGAGGTCCGTGGTTCGATTTCCGGCGAGGGCATTGTTCATTTTTCTCTCTCTCAGCATAAAAAATCCTAATGTCTCTACAAGCGAAGGAGTAATACGTAGTATCTCACATAGCTCCTCACTGGACATAAGCCCTTCTCATCGTACCTGCATCGCTTCTAATAACTAAAGTACAGGGGGATTCACAGCGCTTTGCATAAGAATGCAGAAATAAAACTGGCTTCCATTTACGTAAGCCTTCTTGTGAACATTTTCGGGCTTGTACAGTTAGTGTTCTAGAAAATTAAACAACATTGCAGAAACTTGAACATATCATGAGTTAATGCATAACAGTCCACGTGACGGTTACGCATTCGCAGCATTAGTTCCGTATGTATCCCCTTTTAAGACAGTAAACTTTTGCATGGCACGCTGTGATTCTTATCCTTCTTGCTACTCAGCATATTTTGTATTTTTAGTATACGTAGCACTATAACACACTTTGGTACATTGAAACACTTGTAAGGTAAAAAGAATAATATATGCTTTAAAATGTAAATGTACGCTCTAAAATGAAATTTACGCTTTAAATGAAATAAACATATGCAGTAAAATGAATGTTAGCATTAAAAATGAATGAAACTTATTCCATAAAATGCACTGTAATGCTTTCTTACGATTTAATATAAGATATATTATCCTGAAAATGAAATGTATCGTATTCTTTCATAAGTTACGCTTTAAGACCACTGTCTCAAAGAAGAACTGTAATCGTATTCCAGTACTGAATATTATTGGTAGCTATATATTACCTGTTCTGAATATGTAATTTGCATTATACTTGTCTTTGTACCCTAAGGTAGGATAATAGTGCTATGTAACTGCACACAATAACAATGCGTCATTATCTATGTGTCTAATAATATGCCATTCTGTATGTATGTAGGTTTTTGCTTATCAGTGCCTGGTTATGTGCGGCATTTAATCAAATATTACTTCATTCATATTCGTGTTATGCATAGCTTGTAATATAATTTAGAATCTTTCCTTAATATTGCATTAAATTTCATGAAAAATGGCACATAAGTGGGTTTTAATGGACGAATGAAAATGTATATTATTAAGAACTATAGTGAATGGAACTTTTTGTTATGTATGTAACTGTATTATTTTTCTGAACATGCAGTGATAGTAATGCATCAACATATAATAATTCATACACATAATATGTTATCAGCATCTACGAGTACGTTGATGTGATCGATATGATCAAGAGTACACTCTTGACTTTATCTATGTACACATCGACCTATTTTCACTTAAAAAGTCAAAGAAAATTGACAAAAATCCAATTCTTCTTACTCTTGTAAAAAGCGCCAAACAAATAAGTGGGCGATTCTGCACTTTAGCAGCGAAATATTTTCTAAGTGCTTATTAGCTAAAATCCCGATTAGAATTTTCCGGAAAATGTCATATTACATGTCTCATGATCTCTCTTTCTCTGAGACAAAATAATCTGTGATTCGAACTGTGTACTTTTCAGATTATTGCTAAAGTCCTAGCTAGTAACCTTTATCGCTTTACCAAAATGTCGCCAAACTACCTGTTACCATATTCCAAAGATTAGCCAAATTATTATATACATTATTGCAATAACTTATTATATGCATTAAATTATTATTACATATATAAATTGTAATTCAGAAGTCAAACAACAAAAATCAGCGTTATATTTTCAAATTTTCACAGGACTAGTTTCGATGGTTTTACCGAACCACCATCCAGAGCTGCAAAAGTGCAAATGATTATATTATTCATTGTATTATATATATGTTACTGTGAAACACCGAAATCTGGAGAATGTCGACTTTCACCGGTGAATGTCAACATTCACAGTCGCTTGGTGTATGTCCGAAATATTTTCCAAATACTCTTATTTCTAACTTACACCGGTGAATGTCGACATCCACCATGTACTAATGACGAATGTTGAATATATAAGAATATTATATTCTCTTTTCCGTAATTCAGTCGCGAAAAAACGCACTTGAGACTTAAAATAAGAACATAAGAACTTAAAACACACAGTACATTCAAAATGAGAAAGGAAAGTAATAGAAGTTAAAAAATTACTAAATTATGTGGTTCAAATCTTATTTATTGCAACAACTTAAACTATTATGACACTTTGAATTGCACAAGAGGCCCTTGCTTTTTTTACGACTGCATTTATTTGTGGAACACTTCCTTTTGCAATGACAGCGTGTACATATACTCCTCTCTTTTCGACCTACACCATAGAATATCTGTGGTTGTCGACATACACTGGTGAGGGTCCGAATGTACAAGAATGTAATGCAATATTCGATCTTTCACCTACGTATTTGGTGAATGTTGACATTATCCGGTGAAAGTCGACATTCTCCAAGTTCGGTCTTTCACGGTAACATATACACAGCATCGAGGTTTGCCGATTTCGCCTCAAGCAAAGATTTCCGGTTTCGGATTCCGGTGTTAGAATGACTGTTGCTGTAAAATTTCAACAGCTTTTCTTTATTTTTCCGTATATCATACACAATCGTATCTCAATTCCATACGATTCTGCTATAAAATGCACCTACCTCCGTCTTTTGCAGAATTTGCACTTTTTGCATTACCGTCAATACAACGTGTTTACGTTTTTCAACGTTGCAAGCAGTAAAATCATGAGTGCGTTTCTTATCTGTAATTGTATTAAAAAGGGTTGAAATTTAAAATATTCTTAATTTATCCACAAAATATCCGGATAAAAAAAAGGCAGCACTAAATAATCTCGTGAAATAACAACGCTTAGAAAATGCAACAACGTGAATCGTGAACTTGAAAGAAGAGTTGAGTGAATCGTCTGCTTTCTTACCTCGATGCAGAAATTAGAGGAGAAAAAACTTTTATCATGATGTCAATAATTGGGTATTTCCGTTGTGACTCATTATTATTCGGTAATTATGACGTCATTTATTCGGTAAGTATTTTTCTTCGATATTTCGTACTCAATGTTGCGGGTTCCGGAATCTATAAACTGAATGTTTATATTTTGAGGGGCAACGCGAATTTCAGGAGTTGGCGGATTTCAGATCGGCGGACTTTCGGTATTTGACTGTATATATAATCCTCCCCTTTGTCCGTCTTATGTAATGCAATATTCTGTTCATTTGTGAAACAACACCATAATGATGTCTGTACACTGAAAACATGCACTTTCTTCGAAAGCCATGTTTTGTACCGATATTTTTATAGAAATATGATAGTGCTGTATGGACTGCCATCCAACCTCCTGCCTGGATTTGGCTGGAAGAAGATTTATTTCTATGAGTAGGTGTTAATATCCTGGTCGGAAGCTTGCTCAACGGCGAGTAATAGTAGTACTACTAATAATAGGACTTTGCCACATGAATTGCGTACTTTGAATTGCTTAATTTCATGGTAGCTTAAATCCCAGGTACTTACGTATTATCGCAACCAGGTTGGCGCTATTTGTAAGTTTGAGTAAAAAAGTATGAATAGAAAGAAAATGTACATTATTATTACAGATATTTTTAACATTTTTATATTATTTTGTTTTAAAATATAAAATAGCAATTAAACCTTCCAGTTTCGAATTTGAATAAGTTGCAGAATTATTTTTTCGGTGGAAATCTTATGGCTTTGCTTTTAGCACTAATTGAAAACCGATTCGCCATAACCATGTACACGTCGACTTATTTTTACTTAAAAAAACATCCCAGAATTGCACAAAAAGGCATTGCGCACACTCTTCACTTATCCATGTACACTGCTATTTTCTCATAAATTACAAAAATTGGCACGAAAAGCAGGAAAATTTTGTGAATCTCCATATGCTCTTTTTACAAAACTACGTATAACACGTAGGGTCGCAGAATTTGGCAATTTATGCGAATTTTGGCCTGGTTGCGTTAATACGTAAGTACCAAATCCCACTAGCAATACTGACGTATTTTCAATACAAGAGCTGTTTAACTTATTTAGTGCTAATAAAAGGTTTATTTAAAACCTTTTGAGTTCGTAGTTACTTTCCGTAGAAGTCAGAGACAGGATGAAACGTCGCCTGGCTGTTTACATAGAGGTAGATTTTAGTTTTGAAATACGCAATTTCCGTGTAACTTTCCTACGCGAATTTATACAGTTTTTACTGAAATTATTTCAGGTCTATTGCAAAAGCATTATATTGTACAAGTATAATTAATGTTGTGTTCTTAATATTTGCATTGATAAATAATTAGAAAATGAGTCTTTTCGAATGCTTTACATTTATTTGAACAATTACGTTACAAATTACAATATGTCAACTCTGCACATCTTTTATAAGATAAGTGAAACTTCTATTACAGTCCAAAATATCAAGCATACGCATTTATGCATTTCTGAATAATTTCTATTTCCTGACAGATTAAAGCATTATTGAGAACATTAAAAGTTAGTTAATAAAGATCTGAAATTGGCTGATGGGTAGAAAAGTTGAAAGCAAACATATTGACCTCTATTGATAAAGGAGTGTCACTGCATATGCTTATTATTATCTACCGATTGATTACTTGTCGGGATTACTATTCATTTCTCAACAAAAAACACAACGTGTTCAGTTCAATTTACATTAAAAAGAATTAAAATGCTTCTGAACAAAATAACCTACAAATACACATACACACACATATATACATATACATATATATATATCTTTGAAAAAGTCTTATAAAACATGCTTCCAAATTTTAGAAAATAAATACATGAAATCAGGAACATTAATACAGTATACATATGAATAACAATAATTCTAATTTCTGCCTTATATTTTTATACGTTTTAATGATTTGTATATAATAACAGAAGCACTGAGATTAAAGTTCCAATGAGCAAGATTATGTAAATTACATTTATGGTATGAAACATTTATTATTAATTTTGCAGTGAAAATTGAGATATTAACCTCTAATCTTCAGTACGACGTAGAATAACAATAATATGCAAGAAGTTATAGGATTCTACCATGTATTTCTCTTTACACACGTATATTTTGCTACTAGAAGTTTAAGCATGAATAGCATTATTGTATAACAAAATGCAATACACCATCAATTTATCTTAAGATGGCTTTCAAAACGATCTCAATAATAAGGATAGTTATCACAACATTTAAAGATGCTATACCTAAATCCTCTATGAGTAACATATGTTAATTATGTAGTATAACATCCATTGCGCGAAAAGTATTCGTGAATAATAAAATTTCCCTACTTAATCAAGTACATGTCAGCTCTTTTTAGAGTTTTTATTTCAAGTAAGAATACAAATATAATACAATTCTTGAACTAAATTATACAATTTTTCTTTCATTACTTAATAATGATATTTTATAAAGGTTAAAAAACAGCAAGGTAAGACAGGTTATAATTATTATGTTTTAAATTATACATGGCTAATAATATAAGATGACACAAAGATAAAATGAAATATGAGAAGAATAAAAAATGCAGAGAGAAATAATTGATTGCTTTTAAATTTACTTTTAGCAATATCCGTAATAAATTATCATATATTTAGGATAATTCTGTTAGAAATGTTGAGGATTTTGTTATTCATTATGCTCTGAGTTTCGATTTAACAATTTCTTTCTAAATTGTCCATTTTCTTTAGAAAAATGATTCTGGATAAAATATTTCGGACAATTGGAGATTATACTTCGTTCAAAAGTGTTACGAATATTTGAAACACCGAATATTTGAAGTCAAAAACAGATTTCATTGAGCTGTCAGTTTCTTGATAGCAGTGGAGAGACGTACCATTTCACAACGGAGATAATCAGAGAACCACTGAAGTTTTTCATTTGAATCTAAGAGTTGAATAGACTGCGTGAAAGGTTCGTAACGTACTTCGTAGTTTCTCTTCAAATGGTGATCAACATAATGCCTAAACATGTTAAATATATAATTAGAACCCAAAAAATACTACTCTAAAAATAATAATCATATATACGGTAGTTAATAAGATGTGAAAAGAAATTATTCTTTTTAAAATTGGAATTCTTTTCTGAGAACAAAAAGGTAATGAGAAATGAAACATGAATCCATTATGTTAATGCTGTTTCTTTCGACATCTGAAATAAACAATAAAAAAGTAACTCGATTTTGGTTTTAATATGGCAGTTTATGTCATTGACAAGTTTTAACAATATTGACAAGCAGAAACATATTTTCAGTTCGCTAAGTTTATACAGCTAGAATTATCATTAGGAATTCTATTGTTTTTGTGCTAATTAGACCGCAATAAAACGAAGTTCTGATTAGCGTAAAAGATACACAAGAACACTGTCGATAAGAATACTTTGTGTGAATATAGTTTAGAGCACGTGTAACCGGCATCTTATGAAACTCGGGTATTGTGTACAATGCTGTCGTAACAAAGAATATTTAGGTATTCTGTAAAATACCAGATCTGATTTTACATAGCTTTGAGTATTCTTTACAGAACGAGATTTCTCACTTTATTTGCAACACACAAGGATATTCAAACTTAGTAGAATAAATACATCTTTTTGAATATTCAAAAAACTGGATCTGAACTGGAATATCTGCTGTCAGATAATAATGGTATACTTCCGGTATAAAATACATAATCATACTCTTATATGTAAGCAACGCTGCGATAGAGGTGGGTATAAATAATTCTCATTTGCTGTTCCACTCTAACTTTGCCCGTACACATCAGCGATAAAAATACAATTTGTTGTATAGCTTTATAAATTTCGAAAGTACTGCGGTGATGAGACAAATAAGGAAATAAAGATACGCCAAAAGATCTGTCTATATATATAAGAACAGCACTGTCTACTGTGTTTACTGTCGCCAACCAACAAAAAAGCTATGTTGATGTTGACCGTATAGAAGAAACTGCAGGGTAGTAGTTAATCAAATGCTTACTTGATAAAGAACACAACTAATGGCAAGGCACATGGGCATATGAAAATTTGCAGATAGTCACAGGGAATTTTACAGCTTGGTCACACGGAATTTGACAAGCTACAACTTGCAGACGAGACTAGGATTTGTCTGATACTATGTATTATATGACTCCGACTGGTTTCTATACAGTATTCTTAGTCTAGCATAAAATCTGGTAGTTATTTTGGGTAAGGACTGTACATATATATCAAACGCTCGTGATTAGCATTTAAAGTAAGGAAATACTAAAGGAGTATCAATTTGAACATTGGCTGGTTAGTTACTATATTGTCATCGAAGTATATTTCGCTTACCAAAGACGTAATACTAATACGATTAAACTTACAAAGTTTACTTGAAAATCATATTCATGGCGAGTAAAAATTTGCATCATTTCTGATGCAGTTATAACTCTCAAAGATACTATTTTCGGACGTGTTTAGTTCGAAAAAGGCCTAAAATCCCCTTTTTAAACATGAATGCGAGCTACTTTTTGTCAGAATGTCCTCCAAGCTCCTTTAAGCATACAGCCCTTAAACATATCGCTCCCTTAAGGATTATAGCCTTTGAGTGCTTTGCCATAAATAAATTAACTAGCCAACCACCAAGAAAATGACATTACAGAATAATGTGCCAACATTCCTTCATAGGAAAAGAACCTTCCTGAAGATTATGAAAATGTGATAGGACATGAAACATCTGATATCATGTGGTGATGAAAAAAGGAACAAGAATTAATTGAAGAATCAAGTTCTTTAAGGGTTAAGGGTAAATAAGATTTAAAAATTTGGATCATTAACTGAAAAAACGATTTTTGCAAATGTAGCAAAATCCTGGAAAATCTAATTCAGCATTTGAATAAGTTTTTAAAATATCTTTTTTTTTTCTTCCAAAGGCCGTACATTTTCTGTTTAAGCATTCATAGCTAATTGGGAGAGCCCAAAGACAGCTCAACCTAATCTTCACCGAGAACGTTGCCGGTGTGCACCATAGAGAGTGACAAAGCTATACCTGCAAAGAAGAGAGAAAGACAACACATTTAGGTCCAGACCATTGGTTTTAGACTAACAGACCAACCTCCACTGAACAACATGCCATCCAGGCGGCTTGTGAATAATATTGATAGCAGAGGACTGAAAGGTACAATTTTCCGGCCAACAATCCTGTGGAATGGTTGATTCAGAAGTTTCATGTTCTTTGATGCGAAATTATAAAGATTTAGCTTGTTTAATTAATGTACAGTAAGACCCCGCTTAACGCGGGGGATACGTTCCATCAAAGTAGAGCGTAATGCGAAACAGCGCTAAACGAGGCTATCTTTACATGTAAATATTGGGGTTAGGGGAAGATGGCTAGGAAATTGGTTAGGTATTAAATTTAAAAAGTATGTTTTTTTAATAAAAAAAAACCAAACATTTATTTCTTAAAGCCCAAATTAATACCACATTATTATTTCTTGCAAAAATAAAAACAAAATATAAATAACAAAACGAATATTCTTAAAAAAAAACAAATAAAATTCTAAGTCAGTTATATTTAGTTAGCCTTCCGCGTTTTCAGTGTTCTGCCTCTTTGTGACAAAAGCATCTAATGTTGTTTGCCTTTTTCTTTTGCGTTGTTCTCTTAAAAGTTCTTCATAAACGGATAGAGCATCTCTAACACCACGCCTTACTTTTGAGCTCCTGTCAAAATTCGGATCATTTCAATGAATTGATCCATTATTTCAGTTATGGTAGACAAACTCCTTTTTACAAACACCATCGAAAGTTATTTTTGCTCTTCTTCTGAATCACTGCTGTCAACATTTTTGTTCTCTTCTTGTTCAGTTAATTCCTTGAGCTCATCATTAAAAAGACTAGCCGCTGCTTCTTGAATTATTTCTTCGACATCTTCCACATTTACCCCTTCAAAATATGTCTGTACAATACCGCACCAAACAAGAAATACAAGTACACTCTTTCGGATATGTATTTGAAACCTATCGCTGCATAATATTTCGGGGAATCCCCGTATGCTGCGAGCGATTTCGTGGAATCCCCGGTTGAAATAAAAGAGCGCTAAAACCGAAACAGCGCTAAACGAAACAGCGTTAAGCGGGGTCTTACTGTACATTCTTATGCATGCTATATGCATGCTGTATTCTTGGATGCTAACTTTTAAGAATCTCATAAATCAACCACTGCAAGTCATTGTTGGTGGGAAAATCTTTTCAATACTCAGCTAAGCGAAAAATTTCACTGTGGGGATTATATTGCCCAGAGGCTTTTAACATCCATAAAAATATTTTTTTAAATAAATGATCCAAATTCTAGATCTTATTTGCTCTCAGCATTTGAAGAACTTAGTTTCTTAGTTGATTTTCATTCACATGTATATGAAACGCAGATTCAACAATAGATGGTTCTGAGTGTTTCGTTCCCTAGAATCTTTTCATACCCTTTTCGAATATTATCTTATTGCGATTGAACATTGGCGCTTAATCATGTAATTTCATTTTTTAGCTGCTGAAGAAGAAGGTGAAGTCAAATCTTTGAAAACAGACCTGCAACTTTAACTGACATTATGCCAATTTTCGATGAAAATTCTGTTTTCCTTCGAATTAAGTTCATTATTAGCATATTTAGCATTTTCCAATTATGCGTTCTTTCCTATCGCCTATCTGTTTCGAATGTTTTTGCTTTCTTCGTGAATAATTTCCTTTCGTCGAAATAAAAAAGTACTAGTTAATATTTCTTTTCTCTTATTAAGAATTATGTCTTATTAAGAACCTATTTTTTCCTTATCACAATCTAAGATTAGATTAGAAGAAAAACAGCCTAAGGAACTCAAGCGACATTAGAAATAGAATAGAAACTAGAGCTTCTTTATTAACAACTGTTAGGGTAAACTGTCTTTAGCCGATCAAACGCCAAATAATATATTATGCTAACTGAAATTCATAGTGCTAATAATAACATTCGATAGCAGACTTAATAAATCCTTAATAAATCTAAGTGACATTCGAAGTGAGTGTGGATGCAGTTGAGCTTCTGTATTCTCGCACTTTAGATTAAATTATCTTTCTTAAACTTATAGCCGTCAATAAGCACCTTATGCTGACTGAAATTCATGGTTCTGATAACACTCGATTTTGTCTCTTGCAAATGGGCAAGAAAGTTTTGAATGTAATCATTAGATGGTCAGGGCTATTGATGAGGTTATTTGATTGGAGCAAAGCACAAGAGTGCTATCTGCTAAAGAGGAAGGATGTCTTCATGAGTTTCTAAAGCAGTCTGGCTCATATTCAGGTTACTCATGGGAAAACCCCCGAAACCCAACTATGCAGCCAGCTCGTTTGCTTTAATTCCAACCCAGGTTGAACTAACAATGCTTAGTAGTTTTAACCACTCGGCCACTGGTAAAACCATTATCAGATAGAGGTAAGTTTAAGAATAAAGGTAAGTTCTTTCCTATATTGTTGATATAACAGCCACTAACACCCAATCAACATTACAAAGTGCAGAACTTAATACAATTTTAATTAGTTCAATTGTCATAATTTATTTAAGTATCGATATGTCTGACTTGAAAGATGAAATCATTTCCTTCCATTAAAATGTTTTATGCCAATAATCACTTTCAGTAATTTAAAATATCGTTAATAAATTTAGAATCCAAAGCATTAGCATTCTTAGTTATTTGCTCTTATATTTCCAAAACAAAAAAAACAAAAAAAAAAAACAAAAAAAACAAAAAAAATTTTCGGATTGGCCAGCCAGATCTTCTGACCTTAACCCTATACAGCGTGTTTGTGACGCTCTTGCAAGGACAATTTCATATGGCAGTTCCCTTCCGAGAATCATCTCGAAGTTGAAAATTGCCTTGCTGCAGGAGGAAGATCGACTCACAGGGACTTCTCAACTGCTTCTTCGTCGCCCAGACGGTATGGTAATTACGGGCGCCTACTACAGTACGGAAGGGCCCGGGTTTGAATCCCGGAGAAGACATGAATGTTTATAAATGTATAGTGTCGGTGCGATATGGCGACACTCTAAATATGCGGCGAACCGAAAGTCTTCTCTTGTGGACTGGTGGGAGTGGAGAGGGGTGGGAGACCCCGGATTATCTCCGGGGTGCTCTTCCTGAAAATTGGGGGTGGAAAATGGAAGTCCACCCTCTATTCGGAGTAGGCTCTGGCAACCATTGTTCCATGTAATATGGAAATGACAACAACAGTAATTTTGTTTACGTTAATTATCTTCCTCGTGCTCGAATCGTAGCAGTTAGAATGGCTGTTTAGATTCGTCCCATTAATTGCCTTGAAACTGGAAAAATAAAATTAGGTGAAACAAATTGCAGTTTCCTAGATATGCAAAGTCTCAGAGAACAGAAATTTCATGATTGTGGTCTTTCAGTGGCCGAGTGGCTAAGGCTTTTGAACCCTGGTAATTCGACACGATTTCGAATCCCTGCGAACGAATTACTAGCTATATTAGAGAGTTTTAATTGTTTTCTGTATTTACGACGTGGATACGGGACAGTTTCGCTCAGAAAGACTTTCTCGAAAACTATCTTCCTTGGCTAATAATCCTATTATTAGCCTATTATTAGCTTTGCCTTACTTAGTTTAACCAAAAGCTCATTACTCAGAGAACAAATTAAATAAGCAGATGAATGAACCAAGAAACACTGACACATTTGCACAAATAGATGTTGTTTGAATTTCCCATTTTCTGGAATTTTACTTTCCACGAGAAACATATGATAAAATAAATAAATAAATAAATAAGTAAATAAATAATAAAAATAAAAAATAAATTAAATCTGAAAGCTTTTAAATTTTATATTACACCCAAACGGACGTTTATTTAACTTTTTCTGCCTTACCTTCATTTACTAAATAAATATCATGTTCTTCGCATTTAAACCATAAAATTCAATTCAACAGCAACACCATAAAATAATTAAAAAGATCATATCTTTAGAATTTACGATACACAATCTCGCGCTTTGGAGATAAAATTGTTATTTTTTTCCGCACAGTCTTGCCATTGCTTGTTTTGAAATCGTTGAGTTTGTTAATCAAAAATTCGTTAAAGTTTTATAAAGCATGAAATAGATAATAAAAAAAATTACAAATCTGGGCTTCCCGATGTCCATATTCATGTGGAGGACTACGCTATTCAAAATTTGATGTCTTTAGGTACCTTTTTTTTTTCCCAGTGCGAGAAACATACGTATATTTTCTTCATTATTTAATTTCTTTAAATATAATGCAGGACTCTAATATTTGGTGGCTACAGATTGGAAAGTGAAACACCGTTTATAGTGAACCAACGCAAACTGTCAAAAGAAATTAATGGCCCTTCTCTGAAAATTGCCCCTCTAGGCTAAAAAAAAAATGAACTCGTACATTGATAACTAAATACAATAATTTAAAAATTTTTTAAATACAAAATTTTTAAATGTTTTTTTCTGCTAACTCAATTAACAATGGCTTGCTAATTATAAAACACTACATTAGGTTCTTTTATTATCATTTCTAAGGTAAACACATTCCTCCATTACGCAATCGATGTACGAAGTTTATTATTTATAGTCTTCTACATTTTTCTTCTCGGAGTGATAGATCACTTTTAGAAGATATTTCTCTTCTCAAAATGAATGCTTTATTAAATTTTTCTGTGATAATATATGTAATAAATCAAAAACGCATTTCATTTGTAATCAAAGAGGGTCTGATATTAGAAGATTATACATTTAAAACCATGTTTTCAATGCAACCTGGAGGAAGTAATGTAGGATTACAAAAGAAAATTGTTAGAAAAAAACCATAAGAGTTAGTTTATTAACTTAAACTCAAGATCAAATACATATTTCAAGAAACAATTTAGTACAGATCAACAGAAATCTCAGATCTCTTCTGGAAACATCTCTGCACTTTTGATCTGTCTCAAATTCATTGAGCTTTACGGTTTTCCTTTACATGAATACACATTATATTTCCTTTTTTCATTGGGTTCCTTTTATCCCAAGGTTCCTCTTTTCATTGGAGTACTTAGAACTAAATATAATACTTATACTTAACTTATAACTATGGATATTTATCTCAGTTACACATTTTGAAACTCACCTGAACTTTTCTTTAGCATCATCAAAACTTTCTGCAACATAATAAACATCCTGATAATCCTGATCTTGATAAGGTTGAACAGCAGCTTTTTCAGGATCAAAAACACGATGCTCGGGTTTATCTGATAAAGCATGCTAAAAAAAAAAAAAAAAAAAAAAAAAAATGCGGATGAAAATTCTGGGAAAAGGCAAAATTTTTTGCTAAATGATTTTAAGAAAAGAAACAATCTGTGTGATAGAATTAACGACATTAAAACTCTGGATACTATATTCAAAATCCAAAGCCAAACAGGTATGCTAAAAAGGTACGGCTCTTATGTTTTTTACAGTCTTACGAACCAGTTTCCTTTTAGAAAGAAAGGTAAACAGTTCTCAACAAAATGCAAAAATTATAAAATTCAAATTATTTTTTGAGTTATGATAGTTTATATCGGACAGCGTATCAAAGATGCTCGTTAAAAGGGGCAAACATGAGCAACTGTGCACGTTTATTTACATTTTGGCTCCTCTGTGGTCAACTACGGTATTTAGTTTCCGGTGCAAACTTTTTGGGTCCTCATTGCTTCTGCTGCTAAAAATACCCCGTAGAAACTCATAAATTTTTTTACGGGGAATTGACCTACGGTTACCCTGTAGGGTTTATATTTATTTTAACTAACAGTTATTTTAAGTTTAAGCTATCTTTCCTGTCAAGCCTTTACTTTCCCCTAGAATTGCCAATGCCAGAGTATGTAAATTGTAGTAGAACGCGCAGTATATTCAAATTTTAGCAGAAGTAAGTTGAGTTTAAATAGAAGGAAACGAGCTTGTAAGTGTGCTTCTTGAATCGCTAACGTGAAGGTTGCTAGGTAGAAAATTTAAGAATCGCGCGTTTCGGCCTGTGTGCCTATCTCGGCAGTTCGTTGAATCTTCAACTGCTTAATCAGTAAGCTTGCTGAATCTCAGCTGTATCTTAGAACGCGGTTAGGTTAGTTACGATTTCAGAGCCTCGTATGTAGTGATCTAGTTGTTTATTCATCCTGTCATTAATTTTCAGTTTCACATTTCTGTTTTGTTAAACCGCCGGGTCGGCGTAGTTTGTGAGCGTCAAGTGAACGCAGCTGTTATTTCTAAAGTGGAATAAAAAGAGCTTTAAACCCTTCTTACGTGTTTGTGTAAATTTACTACCACGGTTAGTAATCACTACCACGGTTGCTGGCAAGTTGGGGCCACACAATACTACAACCCGTAGGCCAAATCCTCGTAAAAACTCACAGACGGAAACCCGTACAACCGTACGAGTTCCTGTAGGCCAAATCTCCGTAAAAACCCATAGAAAGAAACCCGTACAGCTGTACGGGTACCAGTAGACCAAATCCTCGTAAAAGTTCATAAACAGAAACCCATATAACTGTATGGGTACCCATAGGCCAAATCTTCATGAAAACCTATAAACAGAAACCCGTACAGAAACCTGTACAGACACGAGTAGGCCAAATTTCCGCAAAAACTGATAGAAACCTGTAAGCACCATTGTCGAAATCTCAGTAAAAACCCATAGCCAGAAGTCAGAATTTCATGCATATCCATAGGCCAAATCTCCATAAAAAATGGATATTCCGTAGGTCTATTCCTCACAAAAACCAGCAGACAAAAACCGTACACCTATACAGGTACCCATATCCAAATATAAACCAATTTTCCCTATATAAACCAATACATAAACATCTAGAGACCAATAAAGGTACCTCTTGGCAAAATCGCTGCACTTCGACCACTGAGCACCTAGTGACGAGGTCGAGTGTTACTTGGCGTCTTGGGCAAGTTTTAGCGGAGAGTACAGCTTTCGTCTGGACTATTTGTAAGAGTAATATTTATTTGTTTTCTCTAGTATGTATTGCCGAGTCAAAGCAGCCAGGTAGCAGCAGTGTTAGGTTGACGCAATGGATATTAGCGAAGATGTTGCATACAAATTTGTAGCGCAGTTGCGTGAGAGTTACGATAATCAGCGCAACTTAGAAGTTCTTAAAATTAAATTTATGGAGGAGCATGATACAATCCTAAAATCAAATTGCCCCAACTCAGAAGCGCGATTAAAGCAACTCAGTGACAGCGTCGCTATGCTTACGATCTACGCAGAAGCAGAAGCTAAAAAGAAATTATCAATTAATGATTTACAAACCCCAAGTACTTCTTCTATTCAAAGTAGTGATAAGGCAAAAATCCTAACTGAAAGCTCTAGCGGGAAAACTCGTAAAAAGAAATCGATAGATAAAGATGGTTTTGTTACCCCAAGAATTACGCATAAACGTAATTTATCAAACTCAGAGGTTGAATATCCACCTAAGAAAAATAAATTTGACCAACTATACGCAGCATAAAAGATGGATGAGGAGAAAGATGACACACCATTCGAAATCGCAAAAAAGACCGCAGGTAACATACCTCATATAGTACTCACTGATTTCGCAGGGAATTGAGATAAATTAAACGAAGAATTTGAAAAAGATCTAAGCATTAAAAAATATAACGGAAACCTAAAAGGTGGAAGATTAACTATCCGCGTGTTTGAAGCCGACCATTATGGAACAATCACCAAATTTCTGAAATCGCATTAAATACCCTTTCACACTTTTAAAATGAACTCTGATAAACCTATAAAGGCAGTTATCAAAAAACTCCCCAAAACTACTGGCTTAGAAATCTTAAAACAAGAAATTAAAGATATGGGAATACCAATAGAGAAAATTAGCCAAATTACCGCAAAAATGGATGGAGAAATTATCAAATTACCAGTTTTCCTAGCAGAAACCAAAAGAAATCCAGAAGGAAAAAAGATTTTTGACATTAAAAACTGAGAGGACTAGATGTCCAAGTAGTTAATTATAAATCAAGGCCAGGTCCCGTGCAATGTGCCAACGGTACGGGCATACACGGCACCTGTGCCACTACACACCTAGATGCCTTAAATGCGCTGAGAATCATGAAACTTATCTGTGTAAGATTAAGAAAGATGCAAATCCCCCAATCTGTGTTTTGGGCGGAAATAATCACGTTTCGTTCTATCGTGGATGGGAGAGGAACCCAGCTAACATTCAAAAGAATAGAAGCCAAAGCTGCAAATGAAGCACAGAAAAAAGCCGAAAAACTAATTTTATTCTTAACTCAGAAGATTTCCCAAAACTCTCAAACACGAATTCAAAGGAGATCCCCAAACCTACCACCTCATGGAATTCACCAAAAGCCAATCAAAACACTCCCTCATTTTTCGAGTGGCTAAAGACCCAACTAGGGCACGCAAAAATTTTCTTCAATAAATTCAAGTCAACCAAGTGTGTGTGTGTGATTATGGCGAAGCCTCGAGGGCTATCTGCCTAAGGGGGGGAATGCCTTCGTGGAGGACTTTATAGGGAAACTGGCTCGTATACACGTTACACATGGGGAAAACCACGAAAACGCCCATGCAGCCAGCCCATTCGCGGGATTCAAACCGCGGACCGAAATACCAGTGTTCAGCGACTTTACCGCTCGGCCGCTGGTGGGCCTCAAGTAACCATGACTATATTTGATCAATTCGATGTCGGGATGGCAGCTATCAAGCACTTTTCAAATATCAATTATGAATTCTAGGCCTTTAAATTATTCTCCAAGTTTAATGTCAGCTACAGCAAGCTTCCTAAAAATTTCATTCTTTAACGCCAATGTCGTTCATCATCAAATCCAAGAACTCATCGCTTACATGAACACTTATAACATAGATATAATGATGCTGAACGAGACCCATATAAAAGCAAACAGCAGAACAAATATTCAGGGATAAAGTGTCCTTCATGACGACCGCCAACATAACAAAGGAGGTGGCACGGCAATTTTAGTCAAAAGGCACCTAAAACATGCAAGATTTAATCTCCCGGATACAGGAAATATCGAAAAGATTGCTGCAATAGTTCAAGGTTTGCTCAGGTTTTAATGAACCATTCTCATTTATTTCGGTCTATCACCCCCCGGATAGCATTCTCAGAGAACACAGGATGCCCTCACAAACTCAAGCTTACCTACAGATGAAGGACAAAATAATGCGAACACATGTGGAAAAGTATGACGTATTTCACACCTGCAACTGAAGTCTGCCACCTAGTGAGTGTGAAGAGGAAGGTATCAGTCTCTCAACAGCAGTCACCTGCGTTGCATACTTCGATCGAACTGTCTGTGAGAAGTTGAAATGTCAGACCTGTCAGAGTTTCAAGGAGGAATGATATTTGGAGCGCCTTTAAATGGAGCATCGGTTACGGAAACAGCAAACCTTGTGCAGTGTGCAAGGAGTAGGGTATCAGCCGTTATGACAGCGTACACGAAAGAGGGTAAGACGACATCTTCAAAGCACAACAGTGGCCGAAAGTCAAAGCTGGCTGATAGGGATAGACGGGTCTTGAAGCGCATAGTAGCCTGAAAGCACAAGCAATCGTTATCCGAGATAACATCCGAAATGAAGAGTCATCTCCAGCACCCTGTTTCAACAAAAACTGTCAAAAGGGAACTTCACGCTGCGAACATTTATGGCAGAGTGGCAATTCGTAAACCCTTGGTGACAACAACTAATTTTTTCAAACGACGCCAATAGTGCGGAGATCACTATGGCTGGCCCACAGCAGTGGCAACAGGTAACATGGTCAGATGAATCGTCATTCACCCTATTTCAGACGACCGGACGCGTTTATGTCTGGAGAACGCCCAAAGAAGCGTTTCATCCTGACTGCCTCTTGCCGACTTTGAAGCATGGGGGTGGCGCCATTATGGTATGAGGTGCGATATCTTGGCGTGGTCGTGGGTCACTTGTTATTATGCATGGAAGGATCACATCCAATCACTATCTAAGCATTCTAGGGAATCATGACCATCCTTTTGCCCAGAATGTATTCCCTGGGGAGCAACCGCCTTTTCAAGACGACAACACCCCTATCCACACTGCTAGGTGTAATCAAGAATGATTTGAAAAGCATGGCGATGCAATTGAACATCTCGCTTGGCCCTCTCAGTCTCCAGACTCGAATATTATTGAACATTTATGGGCATATTTGGAGTCCAAACTTAGTTCCCGATTTCCTCCTCCATCCGGACTTTTGGAATTAGAGACCGCTCTGGAAGAGGAACTTAATATTCCTTTAAATATTGTCCATGATCTTCATGCATCTATCCCACGTCGCATTCAATCTGTACTTCAGTCAAAGGGTGGTCCAAGCCCCTATTAATAAAGATTTTCCATTATTTCAGAGGTGTTCGTATTATTTTGTCCTCCATCTGTACTTTAATCGCAGGTGATATAAACGCAAAGCACTTTTCCTGGAACTGTAGGAGTGAAAACAGAAATGGAAGAATTCTCTATAATTATGCTCTTAATTCCAACATCAGAATTATCGCCCCAGACATCCTCACAAGATATCATCAGGATGGAAGAGGAGATATACTGGATCTATTAATTTTAAATAATATCACAGCTCTCCCTGTTTGGAAGTAAAAGACGAATTATCTTCTGGTCACAGACCAATTAATTTTGATTTTTATGGGTTCTATTAACCTCTTCAAAAAATTCAGCAAAACGTTAACTGGACATTTTTCAGAAGCCAACTTACCAGCATTCCATGTAGAATTTCCATTAATCACTGCGCGGATTTGGAAAATGGGATCCACAATTTAAACTCAAAAATTCAAAGCCCAATTAAAAACTCTTCTTATACTAGCAGGAATAATAACCATCAGAAACTCTTTGAGAATATTATTAATTTAATCAAACAGCGAAACCATAAAAGAAAGCAATGGTAACAAATTATGAATCCAAAGATAAAAGCTATGTAAACTACCTTACGAGGAAGATTAAACAGGAGATCACGAAGAGGATTACTCGAATAGGATAGATTACTCGAAGATATAGGTTTAAGCACCAACACGGTTTGGAAAATTGCAAGTTCGTTATGAAGCACCCAGACAAGATATTTATACCCGATAGATTACATGGGTCAGACTCATCACTCCGAGGCAGAAATTGCGGAAATTATGGCATTAAACTTTAGCAAAGTTTTCGAAAAGCACACGGATGAAAATTCAGATCATGAAATACAGATTTACCAGGTAGTAGAAAGTATAAAAAATAGACGACTTCGTTAAATTCACATCGCCTTCACAAGTAAAAGAAGTTATTAAAAAATTAAAGAAAAGAAAAGCGAGGGGTTTTGATGATATAAATAGAGAAGCGTTACAAGCCCTCCCAAGGAACTGTATTGTTCTGCTCTGCAACATTTTTAATGCTTGTATCAGATTAGCCCATTTTCCGCAGCAGTGGAAACACTCTTTAGTAATTACATTTCTAATACCGGGAAAAACTCCTCGCGATGTTTACAGTTACAGACCCATCAGCTTACTTCCCGCCATCGGAAAGTGTTTGAAAGAATTTTGAGTGTTCGACTGACAAAGCATCTGGAAAAATTAAATCTCATTGGCCAGAATGAGTTTGGATTTCGTTCTGGACATTCTACAACTCGCCAAATCCTCAATATAATAGAATATATTGCACAGGAATTCTAGAAACAGACGTCGTATTCCTGAAAGGCAGCAAAATGTTACAGAAAGAATGCCGGTGAAGAATTACACTAATCGTTATTTGAAGTTTATTCAGAGCATGCTGCAGATTTATAGACTCAGCTGAAATAACTGAACCATTTACATAATTTGCTATGAAAGTGCAGAGTACTTCAGAGAAAATCTCAAATAATACATGGCCTAGACCTTATAACATGTTTGGTACCTTGGCTTGATAATTTGGTTATTGATAATTTGGAGCATTGACGAACTTATGAAACATATTTTTTGTGAGATACATATTGATGACTGGTGTGAATGATGTTTGATGATGTAGGACATCGATGGCTGATGAGTGATGTATTAGATTAATATGAATTTCAGAATTAACAATTTTATGTTGACACTCCTAGATACAATCAACCACTTCATCGAAATCAATGCAGTTTACTTCGAGTGAGTTTTTTCTTTGAAATATCTGGAGATATTTCCTTTTCCATTTAATACTCATTGGCTCTGGAGTGGCCTTTTCTCAGCTGTACTGAAAGGGATGAATTAATTGATATATGCAAAATATCATGCAAGTTGTCTCCTAATTACTCTCTCAAATCCGTTTTTTATGCAGTGACGAATGTTGACACAATATTTATCCAATTTACGAGATATAATTTTTACAGCACGTTTTAAAATTCCTAATTAATAACGTATCTAGAAGAACATCTTTTTGGAAATGCTTGTTAATATGACCTTTCCCATTTTGGAAAAGGCCATAATAGTTCTATTTTAATACTTCAGGTAATATCTAGAATAATTTGTATTGTTAGGGCTGCTACTGTCATCACGATTGAAAATTTTTCACGTGTGCTAAAGTAATTTCGATCAGGTGGAATATTTCTGCAGAGATAACCTCTACATGTCTCTTCTGGCAATATTATTGCAAAACAGGAAATTGTAATAATCAGATAGAAGATCTATATAGTTATTGCAAAATGTAAGAGGTAATTTTATGTTTCTAATTTTATAATTTCGAACTAAAAGTACTAAAACATTTGCTATAGTTTTCATGAAGAAACTTTACCGTTTTATTGACAAAAATTGCACATCAAAATGGGCAATAAGCACAAATTAAATGCGTTGTATTTGACTGATATGAGAGCACTATGTTTACGATGAACAGTGCTAATAAACAGAGAAATGCACTTGACATCAGATTTTTAAAAGTGCAGAATTATTGAATTACTTGTAGCTCTCCAAAAGACGACAGGAGACCAGCTCCGTAAGCTCTCGTTTTCCCATCTTCTTTGCAAAGACCAAATTCAACCGTGAACCAGTAAAGCTAAAAGATGTAAACATATTACTGAAGTAAAAGGGTTAAGTAAATTTTAATGAACTAGATGCAAATATTCTAGACATTTAAATTACATTTTCCCCCATTTCTATATATGATCCATTTCTTGATTTAATTATAAATTCGGAAAACAGAAATCTAAAGAAAATTAGTAAAACATTACGTACAGTTGCAAACTTTTCAATATCAACATCTGCTGCTCCTAAGGAAGCAAGCCCAATCTCTTGCGAAAATTGAGAGAAATTTGGGTCAGATAGCATTGGGATATGTCCCAGTAGTTCGTGAATACAGTCACTGTAGGAAATAATAATAATAATAATAATAATTAGTAAAACATTAAATGTTACCATATCAACTCAGTGTTTAAAAACTTTGCTTATTTATTTTTGAATTTAGCATTTATTAATTGCTTACAAAGGAGAAAGCAAATGACATTTTTTAAGTCTAATATCTATTTACCTAGCATTATCCTTATGAATTCCCGTACATAGTATAATACTGCTTTACCACCAGGAAGAAACCCACTTATTATTTATTAGAAAAATAATATTTCCAAAATCGCATGTTTGTTAATTTTTACGTACTTCGTAATATAAATGACAGTATTATGGAAATTGTCAGAATTATTGAGTAAAATACAAATAAAATATTTTGGAGCTTCAGCTCAGAAGAAAGCTACATTTAAGAGAACATAAAAAATTACGGTTCTGGAGAATGATCCGGTGACGATCCATGGCGTACATATTGAGTAGATTGAAAAACGCGAAAAGCAAGACTGGCTAAGAAATCTCTTGCTGTCAGAAGGCCAGCCGCTGGGCGAACTTGAAATCCAGTTCGTTCTGCAAAAAATGTTATCCTTTTTTCAAACACATGAGAGGAAACAAGGAAAAATGAATCAGTATCTTTCAATAGCTAATTTATTCATTGTTTCTTATAATTTAATCTGAAGATATTTTACCTCAAAGCTCATTTACAAAATATGATTTTATATACACATTTTTTACACAGGAATAGGATAAACTAAAACGTAACTTTTATTACAAATTTTAAAGAAATCTGGATATATCTCTAAGCTAACTACATATGAATTCACTTTAACATTTTTAAATTCAAAAAGTTAACTTCCTAAATTTTATGCTGTAAAATAGTACCAACTAAATCAATTGCTGAAGAAGCCATATAAAAATATAATATTTCATTGAAGAAAAAATTTCAGGAGGAAAACTTTAATAGCAAAAGAACCTACAAAACTGTTATTTTCATACTTTTGGAGATTATAAAACATTGCACGTACTTTTAAGAAATCTAGATACATCTTCCAGTTGAGGAATATTATCAGGTCTGTAGCCGCACTCCTTTTCCAATACTGCAAAAGCATCCAAATATTGTTTACAGGCATGGGTTGGAAGGTAAAGTTTCACATTCTGATACACTGTTGCCCTGAAATCATAAAAACTTTGATAAACTATCTTCTTAATAATAAACATATACCAATGACATATTTTCTGCCTCTGTCTGCTTTTAGGAAAACAGAAACCAATCAGAAAAGCTTGTCAGAAACAATGAATAAGGAAAACCCTGCTGACGTGAGCTATGTTTCGTACAATTATACTGATAAAAAAATCTGATGTGTACACCACATGACTTCCTTGTACTGAATATTAAATTATACGCATTTTTTCTTGCATTTCGTTTAAACTTATTAGATTGAATTAAACCTACTTCGCCGACAGCGCATAAACCACAACAGAATAAATGCATTCTTTAAAATTCACTTTGTTTACCATAGCGACACTCTGGCGCTAGGTTCACTTAACAGTATTATATTTCATTCATATTATAACTCAGAATGTACAAAATTTATATCATTTAAAGAATTATCTAATCGTTGCCACATGTTCTATTCAAATATTATAATAAAGCTAGAACGATGTATAAAAGAAATTAAGCAAACAAAACAAAAAAGAAACAGTTTTTCACAGACGATTGAGTATTTCTCATTGAATTAATTCAGTTCTCTCTTCGCGACAAGGCAAAAATACATAAAAACTCAAAATATCTGTATTAAAAATTACGAAGTAAATCTTAAACACTTATTTCCTCGAAAAAATTCCAGAAAGGATTAAGCATGATTTAATTCGCAATAATAAAAGAAGGCGTTATCTTTGTTGTTGCGAATCTAAGTTTCTCTAGATTGGCAACAAATCCGCTATCCTGCTGTTTCAAATGTAAACAAGAGCAATGTCCGCCATCAAAACATTATTAGGCTTAGCGGCACTTAAACAATTTTAACATTGTTGATAATTCTAAAAATATTACATACAGATTTACTAAAGGCATAAAACCTTAACCGGAAGATAAGAACAACATAATTCAATCATTTTTAAAGCAAAAAATGTACAATTTACAAACATTTTACAAAGTAAAGAAACTGAGATCACTGAGCCGGGTAACAGAGTGGATATATATATAAATATATTTATATACGTTTGGTGCGGCCGATTGCAACCAAAATACGAGGTGCATATCTACATGTTATAGCAGTCCTATATACAAAATTTCAACGTTCTGCGGCTACTCGTTTTTAAGTAGCCGTCATCCTCGAAGAACTGTCCCAAATACATCGAAGAGGGCAATATTCTCAAATATAGTGCTGACCATCATGTTCCCGTAGTAGAAGCAAGGCAGGCTGTAGCAAACAAAAAGTCCTATGCGAAAGTGGCAGGAACTCAGGTGTCTACTCCTGCAAAGGAAGATTTCCTGAAAGTCATGACTCCAATAATAGTGCGTTGCAAGGATCTTTTGAAAGTGCGTTAAAACAGCAGGCTGACTACTTCGAAAAATCTTAGCAGGATTGGATCAAAAATATGAAAGCATGTTCAACAAGCTCGATACAAAGTTGAGCGAGATATCAGAATGCACTAGAGATAAGCATATTGGGAAAAGAGCTCTTGAGTCTGACAGTGACCTGGACTTGGATGAGCATATTACGGAAGTAGAAGTAGTAAGAAGTAAGGGCAAGAAGCCCCATTCTAAATCAGAACCTATAACAAGGGAAGCCTGCATTCAAAGCAAGTTTGACATGAGCAAACCAAAAAAGTCTGGCCAAGGTTAGAAACCGGGATTTTATTCATAAAATAAGTTTTTTTTTTCCCTGCTCTCTTTGCTTCTTTTTCTCATCTAGTTCGATGGGACCTACGTTTTGTTCATGGAATGCAAGAAGTATCTCCAACAAAAGAAACTTTATCATTAGCAGGAAAGAATTCTTCTGCGACGTGTTAATTATTCAGGAGACCTGGCTTTCTAATTTAGACGATTTTTGCTTACCCGATAAAGTTATTTTTCGCAAAGATAGATTAAGCTCCTACCAAGGCGGGGGTCTAATGATTGCCATCAAGAAACAATGGGCAAGCTTATTTGTACAAGATAGCAGTTATGATTTAGCGGGAGGGGAAATTATGAGAGTAGATCTCCGAGCAAATAGTTCCGATATTTCAGTGATCAATGTCTACCTTCCCAATGGCCAGTTCAGCGTGAAAGAGAGGGATAAAGTTCTGGCTACGTTGCCCGGCAAGTTTATTATCTTAGGAGACTTCAACTGTCACAACCCGGCTTGGGGGTCAAGCAGGCTGTCAGCAGGGGGTAGAGTGCTTTTGGAGTGGTGTAACAACAACAACCTTTGCATTCTAAATACAGGGAAGCCCACTCATGTAAGTCCCAGAGCAATTGAATCCTGCATTGACATCGCTTTGTGCTTTGCCGAGCTCTATGGTCAATTGAAATGGGAAGTTTCTTCTGATCCCTTTAGCAGTGACCACTACCCTATAAAAATTAAGTTCGCAAATGATAACAATGCCTCTGCTGCTGGCAACCAGAGAATATTCGTTCGCTGTGACTGGAAGAAGTTCGCCACAGAAAGCAGTAACAGATTCAGGGCTTTGCACCCAAAAGAAAGGAACCTGGAAAATTTCAACCGCATCTTGAGCACCACGAAGAAGGAGAACCTCAAAAAAATTGCGATTCAACGCAAAAACAGCCCATGGTGGGACACAGAATGTAACTTCATTCTTGGCCAGAAAAGGAAATGTCTTAGACTCGTTAAAGCTCATCTTTCAAGAGGATACTGGATCTCTTACAAGAAATGGAATGCTTACCTTAAGAGGGTCATTAATATCAAGAGAAGGTTTTATTGGGAAAAAATTTGTAGTCATACCAGAAAGGATGGCAATTTATTTAGGATAGTTAAAAATATTCAAAATAACAAAAGTCAGGTCCAGTTCTCTAACAATATCTTAAAGTACCAGAATGGCCACGCCTGGTCACCTGAAGAGCAAAGTGTAGTATTTGCTAAGTACTATTCAAGATTCACTATTCAAAAGTTCATTTCCCTGGATTTTAGTGACGAAGAGAGTAGCTGTATTAATAACCCCTTCTCAGGTTTTGAGCTCGATAAAGCTATCAGGAGCCTCAAAAACTCAGCTCCGGGACAAGATGACCTTACAAGATATGCTATCACAGTTTTAGCTGATGATTGCAAGCAAGCACTCCTTGAGGCCTGCAACAAGTCATGGAATTTGGGTCTAATCCCTAAGAATTGGAAAGAAGCTATTGTTATCCCGTTTTTGAAACCTGGGGGCGACAGTTCGCTGTTTTCTAGCTACAGACCAATTTCTTTAACGCAAATTCTTGCCAAAGTAATGGAAAGGATGATTCTCAATAGATTACTTCTGAGGATCCAGCAAAGTAAAAGACTCTCAAACATGCATTACGGCTCTATTCCAAATAGAAGTTGCCTGGACCTGCTTAATAAATTGTTCAGTAGTATCCTGCACCACAGGAAGCAAAGGAAAGTTGTTCAACTGGTGGCTCTTGATCTCGAAGCTGCATTTGATTCAGTTTGGCATGATGGCCTGCCCTATAAAATCATGCAATTCGGAGTTAAAGGGAATAGCATCCTGTGGATTGATAATTTCTTAAACCTGAGAACTATTAGAGTAAAGTGGAGAGGGGTTCTTTCAAAAAGCTATGAAATTATCAGTGGAGGCCCTCAGGGCTGCATTTTGTCTCCTATTTTCTTCACAATTTTCATGCACGATATCTATGAAATTATCCCGGCTGATGTCGACTGCTACGTGTATGCGGACGACATATTCCTCTACAGTGCAGATGTCTCGCCCTCCAAGGTAGTCCGTAATTTGCAGCGTGCGCTATTCAAAGTGCATAGATGGGCTAAAGAGTGGAACTTATGCATTTCCCCAGAGAAAAGTAAATCGATTATTTTCGGCGGGACAAGGAGTAGTGAAGAGAATCTTATTGAAGCTTGATGGTGTTAGCATCCCTACGGAAGATCACATTAAAATTCTGGGCATGTGGTTTGATAGTAAATTGAGCTGGAACGTCCATGTTAATAAAATAGTACCGAAACTGGAAAGAACTGCTGAATGCTTTTAAATTTATCGCGAGCCCAGGTGGGGTGCCAGAAAAGTGGATCTCGTTAATATTGCAAATGCTACAATAAGAGGAAGAATAGAATATGGCAGCTGTCTCCTTTTGTCTACCTCTCAACAAAATAAGAAAAAGCTCGAAATAGTTTATAATCACGCTTTAAGACTGGCTATAGGGGCGCCTATCAGCACTCCTCTCCCGTTGTTATATGTTGAAGCAGGGGTCTTTGCCTTAGATACAAGAAGATGCATCACCGCAATGAAGTTCCTAATAAAGAATATCGCTCTGTCAGCAGCCTCTCCCATTGCGGAAAATCTGAAAAATTGCTTGCAAAGATGCAAGTACAAGTGGAGCAAAATACGTAAGCCCATTAGCCAGTGTGTTAAAGATAAGCTAAGCAATCTCGATCTAGATTTCAGTAAGTGCATTACTTTTAACAATGAACTAGATTTTTCTGAAGAAGTTAAGTGTTGTTTCAAAACTAATGAGTATGAGTTTCAGAATAAAAATCTTTCGGATGTGGAGATACAGCAATTTTTCCGTTCCATTATTAATGATTACGTGAATCAAGGGTTTAAAATCTATGCTACAGACGCTTCCAAGTCCGACACAGGAGTTGGCATTGCGGTTGTAGATCGTACCGCGGCAATTGTCAGTCAGCGCATTGACAATAGAAACTCCATCTTTTCAGCTGAGGCTTGAGCCATTTGTAAGCTCCTTGAGATACTGATCCTCACGATAAGATTGCTATCCTTACAGATAGCAAATCTGTAGTCAGCGCGTTGAGCTGTGTTCATAGGAGATCCAACTCTCATTCTTAAGCTCTTCGAGCGGATTAAGTCTTTCCATGACCTCACAGTCATCTGGGTTCCTGGCCATAAGGGTATAGGGTTCAATGAAAAAGCGGATAAAGTTGCGAAAAGAAGAAATATGAATAACTGGGGGGATATTTCAGCAGAGGATCCGTGTAGGTTCATCGAGAATACTATTAAGAAAGAGCAAGTCGACAGCTGGCAGACTTCTTACACCGGCAGCAGATTCAGCTACTGTAATGTTCACTGTGAGTGGAGTAAGGGGTTAATCTTTGGATTATGGTAACTTGGCGATTTTTTGGAGAAAATTTGGCGACCAACTCTGCTACAGCAACTCTCTATTTTTTTTTCGCCGCCATTTTGTCTTCACGAAGTAAAGACGTTTCTTTTCTTTTTATTTACTCAACACTTTTTCCAACAATCTGCTAGCCGAATTACACTTATGCTAAAAATTTCATGGAACAAAACTGCTTAATGATGACAAATATTAACTGCAAAATTGGGAAAAAGTGCAGAATCGCAAACTCCTTGCCGCGTCTTTCAGATTCGCACATACACAGTAACCATGTACACGTCGACTTATTTTTACTTAAAAAAACATCCCAGAATTGCACAAAAATGGCATTGCGCACACTCTTGACTTCATCCATCTACACATCTATTTTCTCATAAATTACAAAAACTTGCACGAAAATGCAGGAAAATTTTGTGAATCTTTAAACTCGGTAAAAAGCACATATATAAAATTACCTGATCGCGAAAAAATATATACCCTTTCCAAGGTTGAACATTTCCACGTATAAAATAAATAAAATATCCAAAATCTTTTACCTCTAAATTATCTATTATAAACGTCACCAACGAATTTATAACGCAAACATTAAAAATGGTTGCAAATACTTAGTGTCAAATATTTAAATTATTTCCATGCACGTTTACTTCCACTGAAACGTATACCAAACTGCTACAAACATATAATTCACAAAATAACTATCATTTAATTAAAATATAATTAAACCATGTACACGTCGACTTATTTTTACTTAAAAAAACATCCCAGAATTGCACAAAAATGGCATTGCGCACACTCTTCACTATATCCATGTACACTGCTTTTTTCTCATAAATTAGAAAAATTTTACGAAAATGCATGAAAATTTTGCGAATCTTTAAATCTGGTAAAAAGAACATATATGAAATTACCTCTTCGCGAAAAAGTATATACCCTTTCCAAGGATGAACATTTCCACGTATAAAATAAAATATCCAAAAACTTTTACCTCTAAATTATCTATTATAAACCTCACCTGCCAATTTATAACGCAAACATTAAAAATGGTTCCAAATACTTAGTGTCAAATATTTAAATTCTTTCCATGCACATTTACTTCTACTCAAACGTATTTCAAAATACTACAAACATATAACTCACAAAATCACGATCATTAAATTAAAATATAATTAAATAAAAAAACACTACTTAAAATATAAATAAGGACATACATTAAATTAATATAAATTAGCTTACAATCCTAATTACTTTAAACTAAATCATTGCTAATAACAATTTTCCAATAATACCATATTAATTTATTTACTCCTTAAATTTAGAACAATGCAACAATAAAAAAATAATATCCTCAAATGATTAAAAATACTAACTTACCTAATCTTCTACAGAATCTTGAGTGCATGGCGGATCACAAAATGTCCATTTTCACCAGATTTCTTGCATCGCCATTCAAACTTATCTGTAATATCCTTCCTTTCACACAATCTCATTTCATTCTCACATGTTGGACATTCATACTTATCCGCAATTAATCCTACACTCATACACCATTCAACCAATTCTTTTGAATTATCAGATAAACGCATTAAAAATTTAGAATTCACTTTAGATAGCGCCATGCGATCCAAAAATTAATCAACACTCTTTCACACAACACACAATGAAACTTAATATAAAATACTATAGTACTGCAGATAAATTTTCCAAATTTACCACCTTTTCCGATTAAAGAACTGTAATTCGTCCATTAATGTCACATGACATATCTCATGATCTCTCATTTTCCTCACACAAAATAATGCGTAATCGGAACTGAGTACTTCTCACATTATTCCCAAAGTCCTAGGTAGTAACCTTTATCGCCTCCAAAATGTCGCCAAACTACCTGTTACCATATTCCAAAGATTAGCCGAGTAAGGGTTTAAACATCGATAGGAAAATGGAAATTGTAATCAGTAAAATAAGATTGCAAATGTTGGACACGACTCAACTGTTGTACAGGTATCGTAGAGCGAATTCGCCATTTTGTGACTCATGTTATACGATTGACAGTACTGAACATGCAGTTATTCACTGCACAAAGTACGATAGCGCCAGAAACATTATGCTCAAGAAAATCAAAATCAGCTATATTGACCTCTTAGCTGATCTTTCAAATCATTGTAATAAGAAACCTTGGAGATATTAATTTTTAGGCAAATTTATCATCAAATACATCTTAAAGAATTCTTAAGCACTTTTAGTGTACGGGTTTGATTTTCAGACCGACGTTCCCCTCTGAATTGGAGGGAATGCGTCCTTGTGGCTTAACTTGTAAATAACTTTATTTTGAGTTGGAGCATAAGGCGCCAAAGGGAAGCCAAGCTTCAAGAAGAAGAGGAAGAAGAAGAAGACCTGACTGCTCCTCAGCAACATAACTGGCAGTTTAAAGTTCTTCAGAATTACGTTAAAAGTTGATGGTATTTCATTTTTTCTTTAAAGCCATTCTTTTTCAAGTAATGGTACGAGTAAAAGAAACCGTGCGCAAGTTGACTGGTGGCAAAGCACCTCGGCAATGCTTTCTGACTCAACCTACCTCTACTGATGGATTAAATCGCCAAGACGCACCAATTAAACGCCCCAAAAAATCAACTTCGGCAACTACAGTATTAAATCGGACACATGTGTTGTCTAATCTTCCCAAAAAATCAACTTCGGTAACTACAGTATTAAATCGGACACTTATGTCGTCTAATCTTCCCCAAAAATCAGCTCCTTCCACTGGAGGATTCAAGAGACCTCGTAGGTTACGGCCAGGTATAAATTTTTTACATCGTGTTCTACGATTTAATCCCAGAATACATACAAGGGTTGTGCATAACTCTAAAGTTTTTTTTTTATTTGGCTCTTGTTTTATCATTCGAAGGTTGCAGGCTTTGAGCTCATTGGTATTGTTTTGCGTTCTTCTCAGAAATTACGCGTTTCAAGTAATATTATCATTTGTTAGTTATTATGGTATCACTGATTTTGTAATGAGGTTGCTGACTGCCGTATGTATCTACTCTTGAACGCCAAAATTCTGTACTTTAGCGTTAAAGGCAATGAGTTTGTTTCGATAAATTCCGATTGATGCAATTATACTCAAAAAGCTGTATTCGAAATGTATTTAAATTACTGAGCAAGTCAGGTGTTAGAAGGCAAACTTGTTTTATTAAAATTTTAATACTTTAATTTAATGAGAGCATATTTATGTATGAAACTGCACGATTAACGAAGTTTACAAAAAGCATCTTTTAAGATATTTAATCTTGCAATTTTTCTGATTCCATAAGCGGCTAAATGTATAAGATCTCGAAACGCTGGTAATTCCACAGAGTTCAAATTCCGGTGAACGGACTGGCTGCATGGGAATTTTTGCTACTTTCTGTGTGTGAAACGTTAATACGAATATTTTTTTCTTAGGAAGCATACTTTCAATTAGGCAGATAGCCCAAGTCTGTTTTGTTGTTATTAAATTAAATTAAAATCCTACATTTTTTCTTAATAAGGTAGTAATATAAGTTCGATAAGTTTAATAGAAACTTGGGTTGATATTTTCTATCCTCTTGCAGATTTGCAGTAAATAATGCAAAATGCATAATATATTATGCTTTCTCTTAATTTAACATAAGATGACTGACGTTATTTTATTACTGTTTTACGTGTCTGATATATTGAATTATTTAAAGTCTGATAACTTAAAATTTTCAGATCTCGCCCACATTCTGGCCTAAGTACCAGAGGTGCACCTAAAACTGTTACGTTAGTTTTAAGTGTATACTTCCTAATCGTTAAAGTGAATTAATACCTGCCAAAGATAGCTTTAAATTGATAGTTTCGCATCATCAGTCACGTACATTCTGCACCAGATATAATCTAAATTTAAAAAATAATTTATTTCTTGGGTAAGTGAAGTTTTGTTATTTGAATATGGCAAAGCACACGAGGCTATCTGGTTAAGGTTGACGCCTTCGTATTAGACTTTTAAGGAAACTAGCCGGTATTTACATTACACACGGGGAAACTCAAACATGCAGCCAGCCCTTTCATCTGGGATCGAAATGGCAATTCAGTTGTGTTTAAACACTTGTCCATTGGAGGGGACATATTGTGGGTAGTATTACTAGATTCAATTGTACCCTCCGCTGTTAAATATAGAAATACGTTTTCCTTCTCACGTGAAATAAGCTAATATTTTCTTCATGCAGTATGAACAAATTAAATAAAGAAAATTTAACCTAAAATTTAAATAAATATTTGCTATGATCAAAGACCGAGTTTTAACCACTTTTAGTACTGTTCAGATCCTGTGGCAAAAAAAAAAAAAAAAAAAAAAAAAAAAAAAAAAAAATATATATATATATATATATATATATATATATATACAAGAATTTAATATTATTTAAAGCTCTAGTTGGGTATTTCTAGATTTTGCCCAGAGAAACTGACTAAAGCTAGAAATTACCCTTAATTTGCTCTTAATGATATTCCGTGAAAATTATGTGTTTGGCGGGTGATAAGTATACGTACTGATTTATCTTATAACGCATAAAAGGTGTACTTCAGCATTAGTATTATCATTAGTATACTTAGAAATATTCATGAAGTTTTCTTTGAACTGTAAAATTAATCAAAATCAGATAAATAAAAAAAGAATAAAACATATGATTATAAGCGTTTCTCAAACGTGTGAAAAACAACGTAAAGCGGATAAGTAATGATCTTAATATTGAGACATGATCCTAAGTTTTTAATACTGATTCAACTGTTTCGGAATTATTGCAGATACTTGCCGATGGCATGATTCAATACTCCATGGCTCCAGAATTCGGGATTAAGAATCTAAAACCTGTTGCATAATACATAATCTCACCCAAGCTGGAGATTTAGTCCTCTGAGAATTTCACTCTTTTATGCTGGTTACTGAACATTTCGGCTAGTCTTTAGAATATGGTAACAGGTAGTTTGGCGACATTTTGGTAAGGCGATAAAGGTTACTAGCTAGGACTTTAGCAGTGTACATGGATAAAGTCAAGAGTGTGCGCAATGCCATTTTTGTGCAATTCTGGGATGTTTTTTTAAGGGAAAATAGGTCGACGTGTACATTGATGATACCGTGTATGTGCAATTCTTAAAAACGCGGCAAGCAGTGGACGATTCTGCACTTTCTTCCAATTTCGCACCTAATCTTCTTCATGATTAAGCACTTTTGTTCCATAAAAGTTCTAGCATAAGCGTAATTCGGCTAGCAGATTGTTGAAAAAAAAATGTTGAGTAAAAAAAAAAGGTGAAAAAAAATGGCGTCCAAAAAAAAAAAAAAAAAAAAAAAAAAAACTAGCAGGTTGCTGTAGCAGGGTTGGTCGCCAAATTTTCGCCAAAAAATCCCCAAGTTACCATAATCCGAAGATTAGACAAGATGGCTAGTAGCTGGGATTGTTTTAGTTTGGTTTACCGACCAAATTGCCAATTAATTGACAGGCCTTTAACTGCTGGTATTTTAGGATCTTATACATTCGTATATAAAACACCTTTTGTGAACAGTTAATCAAGTGTAAAATCAATTATTCACTGAAAATGGTTACTTTTACTCCAAGTTGCCTATTCTCAGTGTTTATCGTTCAAATTACGAAATTATCACGATACACATGGTATTTTCCACGTAAATAAAAAGTCCTTGCTTTAAATGGAATAATGATTTCTCGTATTTGTAACATAACAGTTAAATAAGATAAAACAGATCAGTGACTCAAAAGTGCGGGTCATTTCTTATTAGTACCTCGGAAGGTAGTTTCTGGTGGGATGGTGAAAAGTCTGACCAGTTAATGTTATCCACATCACTTTCATTTGTTAAAATAAAACTCTGAAACTCAAGCAACTCCTAATGTGCTCAGTAAATGTGATTTTTATGCTTCAGAACGAATAGCAATATGAATTAAACTGTAAGTATAAAGTCAACCATTCATTAAGTTCTTGGAGGAAAAAAGTATTAATACTGTATCGTTAAGTACAGAGTTAGGCTTATTTAAAGTTATAAAGAAGACTTGCGCTATTAATAGAGGTTTAAAAGTCAAATCATTAACAAGGATAACGTAAAAAAAAAATAAATTCCTAAATGCCGCCAATTATGATCTTCGAATTTTATCCATAAAATTACTTAATTCTAAATTTCTTTTGTACAGGAACAACTGCTCTGCGGGAAATTCGTCAATACCAGAAAACTACGGAACTCCTCATTCGAAAGCTACCGTTTCAGAGACTTGTGCGTGAAATAGCTCAATATTACTTTTCGAATATTAGATTTCAAACTACTGCTGTTCAGGCGCTTCAGGAAGCATCTGAGGCTTATCTTGTGTCTCTTTTTGAGGAAACAAATATGAGTGCAATTCATGCCAAAAGAGTTACAATTATGCCGAAAGATATTCAGTTGGCAAGAAGAATAAGAGGTGAACGTTTCTAAGCACGACTCCCAAGCCTGCATTTTATGGACGAAAATGTTACTTAAACAGCGAATATTTATTCTCGAACGAAGCCTTTGCTATATGTTCACTTGCATTTTACAATTTATTGCACTGTGTTCATGTACTGAATTGGCTGTACTGGGTTGCTTTTCTAATCGCAGTATATGAACCCTACTGTTATTGTTCCAGAGTTCATGAGCTGTGTTTACTGTGTTGGTGTTCCGTTATTGTAGTAGTATGTTTACAGTATCAGAGTGTTACTGCAGTGTGTTTACTGTACTAGTATGTCATCTTATCGCGTTTTTTGTATTAATGGTATCGTAATATGTTTACTGTACTAGTATTTTTTACTGTACTTATTGTATTATTTCATGTCGAATTTTAAAGCTAATTAAAACGTCTACCAAAACTGCATTGCAATGAATAAAAGTTTTAAATGCATTACTGAGTTTTATTACTTTCCATCAAAATAGCCAACAAATGATCACATTTTTTGCCCATACTTTCCCACAAGAGGCCAAGCGGATGAGACCGCTGAAAGTTGATAGTTTGACTAAGGTTCAGATTATAACGAACGGGTTGGCTGTAAGGGTATTTTCGTGCTTTTCTGTCCCTTTGTCTAACAGCCCACCAGCGTCCGTGCGGTAAAGTCGCTGAACACTGGTAGTTCGGTCCGAGGTTCGAATCCCGCGAACGGGCTGGCTACCTGGGCGTTTTCGTGGTTTTCCCCATGTGTAACGTGTATAGCCAGTTTCCCTCAGAAAGTCCTCCACGAAGGCATCCCTCCTATTAGGCAGATAGCCCTCGAGGCTTTGCCATAATCACACACTCACACTCACTCACCCTTTGTCTAACATGAATACAAGACAGTTTCTCTTAGAAAGCCCTTCATGAAGTCATTTCACTTTTTAGGCAGATAACCTAAGTGTGCTTTGCCGTAATTTAATAAATCTAATCGTATCCTTGAAATAAATTTAGGATTTGCGATAAGATGTATGTAGTAAAATTTAGTTAGCTGTTTCTTTCATTGCAAGCTCTGTTAGAATAACTAAATTCAGTTAAATTAAACTGAAGTGTGATAAATCAAAATTTAATATTCGACAAATTTAGTGCCTTTTATAGTTAACATTTATTTTCAAAATTTTGATTTTTTACGATATTAACAACAATTAATTTTAATCTTTTTTTTCTTTGGTTTCTACCATAAAAAATTTTTCGTCCGAAAAAAATATAATATTTGTTGATTAGTAATCCAAGTCTCTTCATATGCGTTGCTCCCTTACTTTAAATTTTGAGTATTAAATTTTACCTCTTTTTGTGAAACAAGCTATTCAGTAAACTTTCAAACTAAACCATGAGTAAGTATTTGTGGCAGGCTTATTTAGGAATGGTTTTAAGTTTCACGTGAAACTAGAAAATTCAAGAAAATAAGGGAAAAGGATTTTATTAGACTTCAAATTTAAAAAAAAAAAAATATCTTGACGTTCGGCTACATATCTGATGCTTGTTACCTATACCGCTATTGCTTGTTTAGCCGATTCAGGCTGAGCACGTGAGGGCTATCTGTAAGGGAAGGACTTCATCGGGGAAGACTTTTCAAGCAAAAAAGAATTTATACCCATCTTTTACATCGGAAAGATCACGAAAACGCCCATGTAAGAAGTATGTTCACCGAGATCCGAATGCAGGTCGAAATGCTAGAATTCAGTGGTTCTACCTATACGGCTACAGATTCTACTATTATTGAATTATTACTCATGCTAATATCTTCTTCAGGCGTTCAACCAATATTTCTCAGATGTTTCTTTATAGATATTGGGCATACCTATTATTTTTGTATAAAACTAATTGGGAAAGTTCACATCAGTCGAGCTTGAATACTTAACGTTTAGCACACGCAATATACAAGTTTGTACATAAGTACCCCGTTACCTACCGTTATTGCTTGTATATTAAATTTGGCTGAATAAAAAACGATTAAATTTATACATGCCTATTTAAATAAAATTATGTATGCAACATAGGCGATGCATCTAGTAAATTTCAAAAAAAGGTAAGAATATTCTGTTTAGCCTGAATTCTTGAAAGAGTTTATCGTTCATTGTTAATTTGATGAAATTTAATGAAACTCTTGTTTCCTCTCGGAAAAAAAAGTTCTTGATTTCTTAAAGAAAGGGGTTTACGACAAAAAAAAAAAAAAAAAAGGAATAAGAAACTTAATGCTATTCTTAGAAAAATTCCAAATAAATTGTCCGCGGCTAATAATAACGTTCAGTGATCTACTAACCCTTTGCACTTAAGGTTTTTTTTCCCGCTCGGGTGAAGCAGCAACTCGAAACGATTTTCTGCTTATTTGGTAAACTTTTTACATCTAACTTAAAATGATTATATACACAGTTTAAAGAAATGTAATGATTCTTTTATATCTGAAGATACCTTGTGGTTCTGCAGCTGTTTTCCCGGATGCAGATGGTATTTCTTTGGATTTTGTGCATGTTATTCATTTTGAATTTTCTGTGTCTTCTGCGGAATCACTGTCGCTTTCACCATTCACTAATTACCCTGATTTTTCGTCTTCTTTACACCTTTTACTTCATCGCTATCTTCATCACTGCTTTCTTCCTCTCAAACATCAAGTAGCCTATGCATGAATGTAATTTCGTTCTTCACCAACGAAAAATGGAACTAATCTTCGCTTGAACTGATTCTTTCATCATATTCCATGCCTATCGGCCTCTGCAACTTTCGAAAACTGATCGATGGAAAGGAACAATTTTCGAAAGGGACAATTTGCGATCGAAAGGAACAATTTTCGCAACAACAAAATAATATTGTTGTGAAAATTGTTCCTCTCGATCGAGCATATTGTGGATCAGTGAATAAGACGTCAGATTTGGAAACCGAATGTCATGAGTTCGGTTTGGTTTATTGAGTTTATGGCAAAGCACACTAGGGTTATCTGCCCAAGGGAAAGGATGCCATCGTGAAGGACTTTCTAAGGGAAAGTGGCACATGGGGAAAACCATGAAAACTCCCATGAAACCAGCCCGTTCGCGGGATTCGAACCTCGGACCGAACTACCAGTGTTCAGCGACTATACCGCTCGGTCGCTGGTGGGCGTCATGTGTTCAAAACCTATCAAAAGTGTACATAAATGTGCTCATCAAGTGTTCAGTGTGTACATAAGTTAAGGGATGCTCTACTTCAAATCCCCGATCCCTGGAAACGAAGAGGCCGATAGGCTTGCTAAGCTAGCAGCTAACGACTTGAATATGCCTGTAACACCCCTAAAAGCACCAGTTCCTATTTTTAAAAAGATTACCGAACTCAAAATATTAGAAATTTGGCAACAGAGATGGAACAACTCCACCACAGGCCGCAGAACTTTTCGTTTCCCCAAAGTTGGTCTGAATCTAGTCACTAGTAGTGCTCATCTTACACATTTCTTTACTGGACCCAGACCATTTCCAAGCTACTTACGGAGTCCAGATTAGCTAATTAAGACAGTTGTAGATGTGGAACACTAGGTGATCGGGATCACTTTGCTTTCGAATGCTCTCTCACGATACCATTTCATTTAAAAAAAACTCGGTTAATCTTCGGATTATGGTAACTTGGAGATTTTTGGCGAAAATTTGGCGACCAACCCTGCTACAGCAACCTGCTAGTTTTGTTTTGGACGCCATTTTGTTTTCACGAAGTAAAGGCATGTTTTTTTTTTTTTTTTTTTTTTTTTTTTTTTTTACTCAACATTTTTTCCAACAATCTGCTAACCAAATTACGCTTATACTAGAACATTTATGGAACAAAAATGGTTAATCATGAGGAAGATTAGGTGCGAAATTGGGAGAAAGTGCATAATCGCAAACTGCTTCCCGCGTTTTTAAGAATTGCACATACGCGGTATCCATGTACACGTCGATCTATTTTCACTTAAAAAAAAATATCCCAGAATTGCTCAAAAATGGAATTGCACACACTCTTGACTTTATGCATGTACACTACTAAAGTCCTAGCTAGTAACCTTTATCGCCTTAGCAAAATGTCGCCAAACTACCTGTTACCATATTCCAGAGATTAGCCAAAAACTCTGAAGCACACTGGTCCGGGTGGTCAGCCACCCTCAAGAGAAGTAAGCATTTAATCAGATTCATCGAGTAATGGACATTTGTGGTGGTGAATTCTGTTGAACAGAAGAGGTGTCAACAGCAGGTACAGTAGGCAATTCTAAACCAACAACTATAGAAGATCAGTAGCTTTCATAATTCTTACCTTACAAATTTGGTATCTTACTATATACGATAATATTCAACTACTGAAATTAGGACAATTTCAGAGACTCTAATGGCATGCCATTGTACCTATGTTACGCATATGCATGACAGCCATGCTTAGTACAGTACATGAATAACTTTGCTGGAACATGTTACCTCCTAGATGCAGATTACCACAATCAATGTCTGTCTATTTGTACTTCAGTGTCGCTTCTAATTCATTATTAATCTTTAAATTTTATTGTGTTTACTTAATTTTTGTATTGTATTCTGTGTATTTCAATTTACATATTGTCTTAGTGTATTGACCTGTTAAGTAGTAAGTGCGTTGTGTTATGTTTTCAAATTAACTTTGCGGTATAATGGTAATTACATATATAGAGCTCTCGGCTAGTACCATGAAATATTGTGTGCAAATGTTTTGTTACAGTTTTCTAGTATTGTGCAAAATGTAACAGTTTCTAACAAATATTCGGAAATATCAGAACCAACTTTCTGACAAGCACATTGTATATTGATTGTTATTTTGTAGTATTCGCCATTTCATTTCAGTGTATGTACAGTATTCCATTAAGTATCGGTACTTACGTATTATCGCAACCAGGTTGACGCTATTCGTAAGTTTTGACGCTATTTGTAAGTTTGAGTAAAAAAGTATGAATAGAAAGAAAATGTACATTTATTAATTACAGATAATTTTTAATACAGTTTTTATATTATTTTGTTTTAAAATATAAAATAGCAATTAAACCCTTCCGGTTTCGAATTTGAATAAGTTGCAGAATTATTTTTTCGGCGGAAATCTTTTGGCTATTGCCTTTAGCACTGATTAAAAACCATATTCGCCATAACCATGTACACATCGACTTATTTTTACTTAAAAAAAATCCCAGAATTGCACAAAAATGGCATTGCGCACACTCTTCACTTTATCCATGTACACTGCTATTTTCTCATAAATTACAAAAATTTGCACGAAAATGCAAGAAAATTTTGTGAATCTCCACATGCTCTTTTTACAAAACTACGTATAACACGTAGGGTTGCCGTAAGTAGGGTTGCCGTAAGTAGGGTTGCCAAATTTCGAAATTTATGCGAATTTTGGCCTGGTTGCGTTAATACGTAAGTACCTAAGTATCTTGTATAATTTATTTTCTATT